TAACTTGGCGATAAATTATTAGTTTTAATTCATTAATTTTTGTATAGATCAGGTTAATAATAAAAGCAATTGGATTTTACTCAATATTGTTGAAGTAATTATTCAGCTTTAATAAAATTGATAAAATCATATAAGACAGTTAAAAAATATATTTAAACCTTTGTTCACTTTTTGAAAATGCGTAAAAAAGTAAGTATCAAGTTTACAAATCTTTAAAAGAAATTTATTTACATGATATATAGTTAAATATGTAACACAAATATTTTAAAACAGAAGCATATATAAAACACATTTTTCTTAAAACAACAAAGTTGAAGCCACCATTTACAGTACCGAGGAGCCAAGCATAGCCTATTGTAAAGAAAACCATATCAAATAATTTAAAATATTTATTACCAATAGGGACGACAATTAAACATATTTAAAAAGCTACGTGATTCTATATTAGTAGGATTGTTATAGAAAAGTATATTAAAAAAGTATATTTAAAAAGTAAATATAAAAAAATTGTATTAAATAGAAAACAGATTCTTAAAAACTAATTTTGTAAGCATTTTACTAATGGTGTTCAACTTTGAAACCAATATCTTTAATGGAAAGGCGACTTGTTTAACTAATCTCATTCAAAGAATAAAATTAATAACACTTAAAGATAAAGATAAAAAAAATGAATGAGATATAAACAATCGTACTATAGTATTATATAGATAAGTAGATATATATGAAAAAAAACAACAACTGGAAAACAGTATACCTGCTTTTGGTAACCTATTGTGATACTGCAGCAGTTGCTGTAAGGATGCAACTATTCTTTTTGGTGTTGTTCAAAAACGAAATTTTTATGTTGGCTTTTAGTAAACTTTAGATTAATTTAAAAGACATCACAACGGATTTAAAATACTCATAATAAAAAAAGCAAAACATAAAATGCTTCAAGAAGCCAAACTATAAACATAAAAGATGAAGAATGGAATCAAGATAAATAAATTGTATTTATATAGCTAAATATATTGCCTTGGGTTTTGGTAAATTTTAAAAGCAATGAGTTCAATAAATGAAACATACCAAATAACTGTTTTTAACAAAAAAATGCAGCATCATTATATTATGATAATTGGATAATGAATCAATTCAACTTTCGACTTTAGATTTTAGGGAGGGGTATTTAAGAGGGCTTTAAATTTGAACTCAGGTTTAATTGGTGAGAAAATAATTAAAATTTTCATTAAAAAAGATCAAAACAAATCAAATATAGAACGTAATATATATTTAAAAAAAAATTAAAAAATTAAAAAAAAAACACTTAAGTAAAAAATTAAAAAAAAAAAAAACTGAAGAAAAAGTAGCAACTAAAAAGTCATAAATATCTCTACTGATAGAAGACATTTACAACCTTTTGGTTGCTGTTTTTCTTTGGTGTCTCCTAACACCCCGGTATGGATGAGCCCTCCATTTAAAGGAGGGCTCATTTATTCCGTTATGATCTTTCTATTTTTTGAAGGACCTCTCTGAGAAAGGTCCCGGGTGCTGGGAGCGGTAATTTTTGTATTCTTCGAATGATAAGGAATCTAAAGTTACAAATAGAAGAATATAATAAAAATTATACATTTGCAATTATTTAAAAAAAAAATTAGCATAACCTCACCATTTTCATTCGAAACAGAATATGCTAAAAAAAAAAAAAAGAGAGAGCAAATTAATAAGGGTTAAACATGCAACATTTTGTATTTTAATAAAAATATAGGGCAATAATGCAACAAGTTCAAAAGTGCCATATTTGTTAATTAATTTTTCCACCCATTGCAGATATTTCTCCATACAAAACATATAAAATATAAAACAGAGCCCTACCAGCTATACTTCCGCCAGACACTAAAGACAAATATATACTTAAATAAATTTCAAATAATCGATAAAATAATGTTAACATATAAATATATACATATCTAAATAATTGTTTTACCCATCCCCCTCATTTCATCCATAAAGTTGTCTAAAGTAAGAAAAAAACAACTAAAGCTAAAAACAAAATTATAAACTAAACCAAAACTATAAACTAAAGTAAACTTTAAATATTCTAAATATCAATGCTTTATTTATTAAACTAAACTAATCATAATTTATACTTAGTTTTTGTTTCAACTCCCCTAAAAGAAAGTATAAAATAAAGCTAAAGAACTTGATTTTTAAAAATTCTAGTGGCAGTTCAAATAAACCAATTCCTATTAAAAAATATCTAATAGCAAAAACACTGACTTATTTCCTTCTTCACTTCTGTATCTAAACAATAAAAGCACTTTAATGTTTAGATGTTAAAATATTGATAAAATATATGTTAAATGCCACATTCAACTAATGTAATTAATACCTTTATTAGATCTCTCTTGATTAAATAGAGAATTTAAATTTTAAATAAACTCTAACTAAATTTTAACAAACAAACAACCAAAATAAATCTTCACTTTAATAGTACGTTATTAAGTTGATTAATAGATCAAACAATTTAATCTACTCTAATAATCTACTACCTTATTAATAAACATAATTTTTTTTCTACAACTCAGTGTAACTATAATAAAGATATTTTTAAAGTAAAAAAGAATTTAATATTATAATATATATGATTTTAAAAACCTGAAATTTTAAATTTACCTCGAAGAAAACAGATACATATTAAAAAGTGTTTTTATTTCTTTTTAAAAATTTAAAAATGCTTTATAACTTACTTGTTCCAATATTATCACCAACGTCTAAATAGAAAAACAAACAAACATTCAAGTCGACTCATTCTTAAACCTTATAATATATATGATTTAAAAAACTTGAAATTTTAAATCTACCTCGAAGAAAACAGATATATAATGAAAAGTATTTTTATTTCTTTTTAAAAATTTAAAAATGTTTTATAACTTACTTGTTTCAATATTATTACCAACGTCTAAATAGAAAAACAAAGATATATGATTTATATATATGATTTTAAAATATATATGATTTTAAAAACCTGAAACTTTAAATCTCCCTCAAAGAAAACAGATATATATTGAAAAGTATTTTTATTTCTTTTTAAAAATTTAAAAATGCTTTTTAACTTACTTGCTTCAATATTGTCATCATCTTAATACAAAAACAAACAAACATTTAAGTCGACTCATTCTTAAATCTAGTTCAATTTCTTCAATAATAAAAAAAATTTAATCTTTGAGGATTAAATTCATTTACAAAAATTCGTTTAAGTTCGTTTAAACCATTTTAATATTGTAAAGTTAATTTAAAGTTTTAAAAAACTGAAACTCTAATTCTACCTCAAATAAAACAGATATATATTGAAAAGTATTTTTATTTCTTCTTAAAAATTTAAAAATGCTTTTAAACTTACTCCCTCCAATATAATTATATAATATATATAGTATATATGATAAATAAACCTCCACAATTTCCTTGGTTTAACAATTCGATTATGATTAATAACAACTCTGTAAGCATGAATTTTCTAATAACCTAAATAAATTACAGATAGACAAACATAAATAACACAGTTAAATCCTAAACCAAAATTCATTCATGCAAGACAAATTATTTTATATTTATTGAAGAGCCAGAAACATATTTTTTTTCAAAGAGCAAAAGTATTAACAATATTAAAGATAAATTTTATTTATAACAAAATTTTCAATAAAAATTAAATTAAGATAAATTTATAACATAATGTTGTCATGGCTTTTATCCCAATAACCAAAACTAAGTGAAAGCATGAAACTACCCATAAATATATTTTAACGCTAGACACAATTTAAGAATTAAAGTGATCTATAACACGAAGCTTTAAATTTAAAATTACAATTTAAAAAAGACTGCAATAAATTAATTACTTTTAAATTTAAAAAAAATTTTAGATTACCTATAATTTTAAGCTACTAAACATTATCTACTTTATGTCAACTTAGACATTTTGAACTCGTACCATGAAAGGTTGAAAGGAAATCTTTAAGAAAGCACGCGGTAAAGAAAAGTCTAGAAACTACTTAAAAAGTGTATTTTACAGATACAGAACCGTACCGTAACTATAAAACAATACGCGTAACTATGCGCATTAATAATAATATTCATTCGGCTATTCATTATTAAGGTATGTGTATATTAAACTTATTATATTTTGTGGTAAATCTTAGTTTTTGATGTGTTTTTGAAATCTTTGATATTTCTGTTTTTTTATCTTTAAAACTGTTTTTTTTCAACTTACTGTAGAATTTTAAGAACCCTTTATATCTGTAAGCTACAAAACATATCAAAATAGATGAAAATGGAAAAAAATGCGATAATTCAATCCAATTTCCCAAAGAAAATATAACTTAAAAAAAAAAAAAAGTGACTGTTTAATGTTACTAACATTGCAATACAAAAATCCCAGGGTGACTCTTTATGATTTCAAAAAAAAAACATCTTGTAGGCCAGTGGTTCCCAACCGGTGGTCCATGGACCCCTGGGGGTCCCATAAGAACTTTTTAAGCGGACCACAAGATAAACGTAAATTCTTAATATTTTTTGGTAGTGAAACTTAATTTTGATTATTTTTTTCTGTTGAAAGAAAGAAATTAAATTTTAAATTAAAAATGTAATTTATGCGAGAAAGCTGTTACACAAAATTTGTGTTAACTTATTCGACGAGGACTTGCGGACCTCTACGAAGTAATAAATGCTATATAATATCATTTTTAATTCGTAAATTTAAAATGTTAAAATCTTATCTCATGGTAAAGATAACCTTACTGATTTGTTTGAAAGAACGTAATTTGTGTTATTTTCTATAAAAATTCGATACTATACTACTCTTATATATAGATGCTTTTTATATTATTTTTTAAATACTTTAGATGTCTAAAAGTAAAAAAAGGTCATACTTAGATGAATACATGAGATATGGATTTACCTACATGCTTAAAGAAACCATTAGCTATCCATAGTGTGTTATTTGTTATAAAGTACTAGGAAATGACTCTATGAAACCTTCAAAGCTTGCTATTCACTTGAATAAGTGCCATCCTGATCTCCAAATAAAAGATACTGATTTTTTCAAAAGAAAATTTGAATCACTGAAGAGATGCAAATTGGATAAAACTGGGATTATTTACCAAACTCAACAGAATATAGTAGAAGCATCCAATAAGGTTTCATATATAATAGCACAGAACAAAAAAGCTCACACATTGGCTGAAGAAGTTATACTTCCATGTACAAAAGAAATCGTTAGATTATTATTTGGAGAAGAAGCTGCAAAGAAGGTAGATAATATATCTTTATCAAATACTACAGTCAAACGAAGGCTAACGGATATTTCATCAAACATTAAAGAAAATGTTATTAATGAAATTAAACAATCCCCATATTTTTCTATTCAGTTGGATGAGTCCACAGATGTAAGTTTAATGGCACAACTAATTGTATATTGTAGGTATATTCAAAATAACAAATTTAAAGAAGAAATTTTGTTTTCTTCTTGCCTTGAAACAACAACAAAAGCAGCTAATATTATGGAAACTTTAAAACAGTTTTTCAATGACAATCAATTACAATGGAAATATTTGTTTGGAATTACTACTGATGGAGCTCCTGCCATGATGGGTTGTAAGTCTGGATTACAGACTAGGGTGAAAGAGATTGCTCCAAATGCAGTTGGTGTACACTGTTTTATTCATAGACAGGCTTTAGCAACCAAAACTTTACCAGGTAGTTTGAAAACTGTATTTAATCAATTAGTCAAGTTGGTCAATTATATAAAATCTTCTGCTCTTAACACTCGCCTTTTTACAAAATTTTGCTCTGACCTAAATGCTGAACACAATAAGTTATTGTTTTATACTTCTGTGCGATGGCTATCTGCTGGAAATTTTTTGGAAAGATTTTTCATGCTTAGAAATGAAGTGAAAGAATTTTTATGTCAAATGAAAAGTGAACTGGTAGAATATTTTGAATTTGATAATTTTGAAATAACAACTGCTTATCTTGTGGACATCGTAGGTCATTTTAACAAGTTAAATTTGCAACTTCAAGGCAAAAATGCTAATGTTATTACACATTCAGATAAACTGAAGGCATTTATTGAAAAGCTCAAACTGTACAAGACTAGAATTAATAATGGAAACTTAATCATGTTTCAAAATTTAAATAACATAATTGGAGTTAACATGCTTCCTGAAGTTATAAAAACAGAAATAGTTTGTCACCTAGATAATTTGATTACTGAATTTGGTAACTATTTTCCAGATATGAATCTTTTGAGCAGTGAAGTTATTATATCACCATTTTCTTGTGATGTGAAAAATGTGAAAGAGGAAGCACAAGAAGAGTTTATAGAGTTAAAGAATGATACCATGGCTAAGGATCACTTCAAAGTAGCACCATTAAATAACTTCTGGTTGAAAATGAGGAATTCATATCCATTGTGTTCATCAATTGCACTTAAAGCCCTTATTCCTTTTTCAACATCATATTTGTGTGAAGCCGGGTTTTCAGCAATGCTATCTCTTAAAACAAAAAAAAGAAATAGACTTGATATTGATGCAGATATTAGATGTGCTCTATCAAAAACTAAACCAAATTTTCAGATATTATTTGCTAGTAAGCAGTGTCAGAATTCACACTGATCTGTTCTTGTATCATACATAAACTAAGATAAAAAATTTTTGTGTCATTGATAAATATTGATTTTATGTCTAGTCTATTCAAAAATACTTTAAAATCAAAGCTCTGTTTATATTCGCTATGACCGGAACTGCTATCAAACTCTCACCTTAGAATAAAAATGAAGTTTGATAAAATATTAACATTCAAGGAATCAATAACATCTTGAGTTTTTATAATTCTTAAACAAGTGTGATCTGTTAAAGATTGCAGCTTTACTTCGGCGCTTATTTTAGTTACCGTTTTGTGAGATTGAGGACAATTTAAGACTTTCTATACATTTTTAGGCTCGGTTTTGAATAGTGGAAAGTAAATCTTTAACTGTAACTACAGCATTGTATGCTGCAGTTAAAGTTAAAGATTTACCTTCCACTAGCCCGAAGACTCATCTGAGAAGCAAATGTCAACTCGGATGAACTAAATGTGGAGCTCATTTCTGCCGTTTTACGCCGTTTCGTTTGTTTACTTGCTTCATCAAAATTTAATGGCGGTCGACCAATTGCACTATGAATTTTTTTTCTATATTTTTTGTTTGAACAATCTAAATATATAAATATATTTAACAAAGATAAAAAAAATATAAAACTTTAATAGAGATAAGAAGAAAAAACCGCCATTTTGTTTCCAAAAAAGCATGACTATAACTAGAAAAAAATAGTTAATGAAGTAATAGGCAAAAACAGGTGCCGTTTTTTAAATCAATGTTTGAAATACACTTTTATGAACAACATCCAAATTATAACTAAGTGGGATCTCGCAGGTTCACAATTTTTTTAATGCTTGAAAAATAGGTTCATTGAAATAAATAAATTTTATTGTGTACTTTTTCGATCGCACTTTTCACATAAAATTTAAAGTAATATTATAAAACGTTTTTCTAAAAAATTACATAAATACCTTAAATAGTATCCTCTATAGTTATTTTTTTGGAGAAGATAAAGTTTTTCTTATAAACAATACTTATTTGAGCACATAAGTTTATTGTTTGTAAAACCACAAAATATTAGTTTTCAATAACAGATGTTTAACTGCGTTTAAATAGCTAACTATAAAGTCAACGAACTAACATTTTTAGAACTTTTCTAAAACAATTAAATGCACAAGAGCTTTGTTTTTATTTTCGACCATATAAACTGATAGACACACCTTACTGCAAGTTAATATTCACAAAATTTTGAAGCCAACATCTTTTAGCACGTGACGTCACGTTTTAGGCAATAAACAATTTATAATATTGGTTTAGGGAAAAAAAACCTTAATGTACTTAACACTTATAAAGTTTTAATATTTGTTATGTGTAATATTTTGTTAAATTTTGATTTTCAAATAGAATGTAGCTATATAAAGATCATGATTTTATCTTGTTCTGCATATAATTTGCACTCAAAGATAGACTAAAGGGGTTTCTTTACATATGTATGTAGCTATCAATCATTCATTGCTAAGATCATACCTTACTTATCAAATATAAATGGCATATTAATTTAATATGCCTATTTTTGTTGGTAGTTTTCAGAAAGATCTGAATTAAGGAGAAAATTGATACAGGTTATGCGGAGGGATGGTTTTACTCCTATTAAACTGTCTAAACTTTGTGGTAAACACTTCACTGCCAGTGACACTGGTATAAAGAAAGTCTTTGAAATTTACAAAAGAAACTAAAAAAGATGCAATCTATATTTTATATCCCAACACTTTTATAAAAATGTACTTATCCTAGATGTAATATTCTGAGGATAATGTTATACTAAGAATTAAATACAACATAAAGTTTAAAGCGTGCAAACCGCCATAATTATTTTTTTTTTAAAGTTCAAGATGTGTATTTATCATATAGTTAAACAAGTTCTTTATAATACACACTGTTAAATGAAGTCCCTCAAGTAAGCAGGTCTGTTTTTAGTCCTTAAATATCAGGCTGCGGTTCAGTCGATTGAGTTTCAGGAATACACGTAGCTTCTATTTCATTATTTGCTGTTTCCTCATTTGATGCAGGAGATGTGATAACAGCCGGTAAATCGTATGGCAAATCAAGTTGTTCATGCTGGTATACTAGTGGTTGCTCATTGGTTTTAATTAGATGTTTACGATTGCGTCGATATACTCTTCCGTACTTATCTACCACGTTGTATGATCTGGGTAATGTTAATTTTTCTTTAACTGTCACTTTCTTCCATTTTCCATCTTTTCTCATACGGGCAGTATCGTTTGCAACGAGATTTGGGAGTTCAGATGCGTTCCGATCATAGTATTGTTTTTGACGATTTCTGGACTTGGTGATCTGACTATAAGCATTTACAGGAACTGCTGGTATAAGTAAGTCATGGTAAACAGGTAGGGTTGTTCGCGTTCTTCTGTTCATGAGAAGTTGGGATGGGGAGTAGTCCATAACAGTGAGAGGCATGTTGGAGTATTCTAGAAGATCAAGTTCAGGGTTGTCGCATTTTTTTAGCATTTTCTTCATAATTTTAACACCCATTTTACTGAGATCATTTGATTGGGGATAGTTTAAACTTGATGGAGTGAAGCTAAACCCATATTCTTTTGAGAAATTAAGGAATTCTGCACTACACATTTTTTGTAGGGGTTGTTATCGGCAATGAGACTTGAAGGTATTCCGTGACGAGTAAAAATGATTTTCATAAAATTGATTACAGAAAAAGCTGTTTTGTCAGGCATGATACTGTTTCTTATAAATTTAGAAAAGTAGTCTATAACAATTACATAGATTTTTCCATGCAACTGATATATGTCTGATCCAACTTTACTCCACGGTAAGTCAGGGATGTCGTGTTGAATTATTTTTTCCTTTTATTTGTTGTTACGATATTTAAGGCATTTATGGCGATTGAGTATTAGTTTATCAATGTCGCCTGTAAGTCCTGGCCAGTAAACAACGTTTCGAGCTCTAGCTTTCGTCTTTTCGGTGCCAAGGTGTGATAAGTGAAGCTGTGTTGGTATGAGGGGTCTCATATCAGCTGGTATGACTATTTTATTTTCTTTTAAAATAATTCCCTCTGCTATGTGTAAGTTGTTTCTGATGGTCCAATATTTCTTTTCTTCACCACAGAACATTTGTCGGTTTCGGGTTAAACTACATTTGTCGGGTTCTGCTATGGTTAAACTGCGAGAAGTATAGCTGATCGAAAGACCTTTTCGCATAATACAGGCTCCTAATCCATGTGAAGATGCGTGTACCTGAATTCGGACATCTTTTGACGTGTCGAAAATTGAGAGTACAGGAGGAGATGAAAGAACCTGTTTAATTTTTTCCATAGCACTGGTATGTTCGTGGTTCCATGACCAGTGTATGTCTTTTTGAAGCAGCTGGCGGAGGGAAGCTGCTATCTCTGACATATTTGGGATGAATTGTCGCAGGTAGTTGACCATTCCTAAGAGCCGTTGCAAATCTGCTTGACATGCAGGCAATGGGTATCCAGATATGGCTTTAGTTTTTTCAGGATCAACTCATGGCTGATTATGTTGCCAAGATACCTGACCTCAGATACTCGAAATTGTATTTTTTTAGGTTGAATTTTATTTTTCTTTCACGAGCTCGTTGTAAAATTTGTTGGAAAATTTTATCATGCTCCGTATCTGTTTAAGCTGCAATAATTAAGTCATCGTGGATAGCCAGAACATTAGGAATATCACCGAAATTAAGTTCAATCATCTACTGTGCAGCATCCGATGCGCATGATATGCCAAACGGTATGCGGTTGAATTTGTATCGGCCATAAGGAGTGTTTAATGTGCATAGCTCAGAGGAAGGTTCATCTAGTTTTTTATGCCAATAGCAATCAGCCATGTCTTTAACAGTGAAAAACTTTGTTGCCGCAAAGTTTGCTAGAGATATCTTCTGTAGATGGAGTGGTTTTGTATTGTCTTAAAACAGACTTGTTTAGTTCTTTTAGACCCATCCTTTTTTTCTCTACGATGACCATTGAGTGTACCCAAGGTGTCGGTTTAGAAATTTTTGAGATAACTGTGGCTTTTACTTGACGGTCAAGTGTGCTTTTAAGTTTAGGTAGGACAGTCATTGGTACTTTCCTTGATGCATGAATGACTGGGATTGCATCGTTAGCAAGTGCGATATGATAGTTTCCTTTAACTAAACCAAGACCGGTAAAAACATCACTATAATGTTTTAAAATGTTAATTTTATCAATTTCAACATCGTTAATGTTTAGTATTTCAAGAGATTTGCAGGAACTTAGACCAAGAAGTGGTTTTACGTCAGACAGAGATACAACAAAATACTGACACACTTGTGAAATGTTATTCTAATTAATAGTTAGGTTGCAAATTCGTTGTACAGGAATATTGTTTCCACAATATGATTTTATTTGAGTTATTGTGTTTTTGAGAGGAGGTCTTCCAGGAATAAAGTTGTAGACGTTGTATGGAATGACGTTACATTGAGCTCCAGTATCTAATTTAAATGTTATATTTTTGTTGTTGACTGTAATATTTGTTGTTAAATCGTCAGGACATTCAGTTGATGCTGCAACATGATGAATATATAACTCTGCAACGTCGAGGTTGACTTCCTTTTAATCAACTTGGTCTACACGATTAGTATTAAAGCGGTTAGTTTTAGATCTGCATACTTTGGCAAAATGTTTTAGTTTTCCACATGCTGTGCACTTTAGGCCATATTCTGGGCAAAACGAAGTAGTATGTTGTGATCCACAGTAGTAGCAAGATTTTTTTCTAAAGGTCTATCAATCTTTAGGGAGTTAAAATTAGGTCTGTTTCCATGTTTATTTATAGAATCTGCCTGGATTGTATTTTCGAGGGCTTTTAATTATGTTTTTGATGTTTCATATGCTCTCATGAAACTGATTGTTTTCTCTAGAGTAAGCTCAGTATCTTTAAGTAGTCGTTCTCTGGCAGCTTTAGAGTCGATTCCACAGACTACTCTGTCACGTATTAGGCTTTCTTCAAGGGTTCCAAAATCGCA